ACCCATATGAGCAGCAAAAACACGTTTTTAGACCAAATATTACAGATTTGAACAAATACACACAAAAACATCAAAGTTATCACAGAAACAGTACTATATAACATTTTAGACACATTTTAGACAGTTTATCAGCTAAAAAAAAGGGTTAATTTTGGGGTAAGTTACTCTTTAAGTTTAGATTGTGTTTAGGAGACAAAGTGGAAATACAGTCATGACAAAAAGAAAAAAAAATCAACTTTACTTTTACAGATAATGAATTTGAAGTAGGACCTGGGATAAAGCAGCAGGAATWTTTGTGTTGAAGAAACTTTAACATTTGCTGGTTTGCCTGCAAAAATCTGGTTTTGAAGAAAATGTTTTCATGAACTGTGGATCAGAAATAATTTATCTACAACCAAGAACACAAAAAGACAGCGTTAAAGACACTGTGGAGAAAATAAAGAAAGTTAGCAGCTAAACCCATAAATACTCACAGACGGAATAAATAACTAAATCAAAATCAATTATTTCTAGTTTCACTTTTTATTTAAAGCTGAAATCTGTTCACCTGTTTCTACTGGCTTATTGCTCCATTGTTAGTTTTCTTTTAAAGCACAATATGTTCATTTTCCTGATTCTATTCTAACGTTGATATTTGTGGTTTTATGCGTRGCTGTGTTGTCCCTGTCTTCTGAGAAATAACCTCAACATGTTTCTGATGAACTAACCACAGCTGGCCTACAGCAGCACAAACAGCTGACTCAGYAAAACTGAACAATAAATGTGATTTTTCTTCTTAAAGTAGAATCTGAAGGAATAATAATAATAAAAACCAACTACGGTGTACTGAGGCACATGTAGCTCATTTAACAGACAAAAACTAACATCCAGCTCAGGCTGAACACCTTTCTGCTGATGACAGCGTTAAAAACTAAAACCCACAAACACCTCGGTGTAAAGAGCCGAGCGCTCGCTTCACTTCCTGCAGTCAACACAGGAGCTACACCTCAAATCTGCTTCAGTGGTGAAAAACACAAACCTGTATTTTTTTAAAATAAGATCACAAATAAATAAAAAAAAACATTGAAGAAGATTTCCACTCAGGATTCTGATCAGGCAGTTTGTATTAAAGTAAAATGATTATATAATAAACATCATCAACATTTCTGACATCAGAAATGTTGCAGGAAATTCAAACAGCCGTTTCCATGACAACTTCCTGTCTGCGTCTCCGGCCTGCGACCGTCTGAGCAGCTGTGGAGAGAAACGCAAACATCACTAAACTAAACAGGATCATACGAAACATTTCATTAGCACAAAGTCAACTTATAATTAATTTGAAACAAAGGTTTTTGGAGTTTTATAATATTTTTTCCAGCTGCTGATAACAAAGGCAAAAAGAAAGGAAAAGGTTTCATAAATAAAACTGTAATTATATCTGAGCAAACTGAACAAATCAGGATCAATG